ACTTTCAGGCGTAATTAAATTTACCTCTGCAAACTTGAAGTCAGAATCTCCAAGATAATCTATTTTCTGCAGGTTTCGCAAGCATTTATAGCCACAGTCATCCCTTTGCAGCAAAGAAGGATGCTTTTAAGACCGATCCGTAATAAGCGCGAAGCCTTAGTGGTTATTAATCTTGCTACTTACTATTTGAAGGACTGGGTCACTTTGTCACCTGCCTCCTAACTACCATAATAAAAATGTTATGTTCAAATCGTCAACCAAGTGATTCGCCGATACTAGTTTTAATGCACTGTAAGCGTGTATGTACTTTTTCAAGGGAGTGATCGTTGAGCCCCTTATGTCTAGCGGTGACTGTGATGTTGGTTTTGCAATTGTATGCGCGAGCTGGCTTTCGAGGCAAGCTAAAACTCTAGTGAGGAGTCTCCGAGTTCTACGCTGTCCCTCAAGGCTTTAAGGACGTACTTTATTGGTACTGGTTTAATACTTACCCAATTAACCCAATTAACCAGATTATACTGGTTATACTATACTGTACGTATAGCTGTTCTGTTAGAGATTATCTTGCTATTGGTGGGTGAGCCAACTATTTCGAGTGAATTGAAGCATTTGACAATGCCTTGTACCTTTCATTGCTTAGTGAGAAATGTGGAGATACCATGCCGTAAGACTTCGGATCTCATCATCAAGGGCCTAGACTTAAACCTAGCAGACGGATTTTGCCTTGTCCGTGCAAGGGGTAGATTTCCATGCTAAACATGCATAAACATGTTCAAGTCCCAAAATGATGAATGATGAAAGAGTTCCACCATTTCAAGGCCAACCACCAACTCAAATGCACAGGAACAAAGCTTATCTTCAACTAAATGTAAACGCAGAAGAAGTCAGACACTTTCAACAATTAAGAAATTTCACAGAAAACAAAAAATCAATGGTAAATTTAAATGCTTTAGGAAGCTACTTATGGCATTGGCATCAGGATGTAAATCTAAAGCCTTGTTTATATTGGTATAAGTGAAATTGAGTATTGTGGGGGTCATGGTGCGAAAGCTTAGATACCATGAGAGGAAACTTCTTAAGAAATTTGACTTCATTAATTGGTCTGCAGACAAAAATCTTAATGAATTGAAGGTAATGAAAAGATATTACATTCAAAAACGAGAGGATTATACATTGTATGTGTATCTGATCTATTTCTATCAGCAGGTACAACAAGCTTTCACGACGCATACGTGAAATTGCAAACAAACTGAAGGATATTGATGGGAAAGACGTATGGCGAGCGGAAATGACCAAAATGCTTTTGAGCAAATTGTATGTAATGTCTTTGTTTACCTCCCCTTCAGGCATAATCTTGGCTTGGTTCCAACAAAATCCTCACTTATTCTGGCTTCCAAGGTTAGCGCGTCGTCATTCTGCAGAAGACGGCTTCCAGTTGTGATGGTTCGCGCTCGCATGGCTGAAACTCTCAAAGCTGCTGTAACTTTTGTTGAGCAAGGCCACGTCAGAGTCGGACCAGATACCATACGCGATCCTGCGTTCCTTGTGACCCGGTGCGTCCTCACACATTTGCAAATCTCATCTCTCTAGAATACCATATTTCCCCGAAAGCTTGTGTTCTCTATTCACGACCGCTAAAACGTATACAAATTAATGACTTCTAGCTCATCAGGCGGTTCGGGAGGTTGTTTCTTATCCGTTTATCTCCGGTCTCCGTGTCTGATTTCTGCATTTACACCATTTTAGACCTATGGAGGACTACATCACCTGGGCTCCTGGCTCGAAAATCAAGAAAAAACTCCAGGAATATAACGGAATACTGGATGATTTCGATTACGAATGATCACCGCCTCCTATGCCCCCTTACTTCATGTAAATAAAATGTTCGACAGTATGAAAACATCGGTTTATTTAGAACGATATTGGGAAAGGCGTTTCCTATTCGTTCTCCATGGCCACCGCGGCTTGGGCTCGTGTCTGCCCCCACACCCCGTCCTTGATGCGTCTTTTTAGCCTTGCAGCAGTCTCATCGTCCAGTAGACTCCATCGCGTGGTGTGACCTTTCCAATGTTCCTGAGTCAGGTCACACTGGTAGACTATTCCAAACTTTTCCGGCTGTAAACTAGAGCCGTCCACAGCTGTACCTACCTCCGTAGTAGGATTGAGGAGGTACTCCAGAAAGCCAGGCATTTGCACAAACAACGTAAGTCCCCAAGGCTTAAGCATTATCGTGATCAGAACCATCTTACCTCGGTCGCTAAAGCACGTAAGAGGTTCAGAGCAGCTGAGCGGACTTCTTTGAAAGGCTGTCGAGCTAGTTCCCAAATGCGCCCAAGAAGACGGGTCGGCGGTGACGGAGCGCTGGTGAAGTTGAACCACTCATGAGTTAATTCAGACATTGGTAGCTGCGCGGAAATGTCATCCGCGTCAGGCAGACTAAGAACGTCTGCCATGGCGAGGAGGATTCTAGGCAGAGTGCCTGCTGATGCATTTAGCATTATGGAAGCTGCCTTCGAAAACAGCGGAGCAAGGCACGCACCCGGTTCTGAAAAGCAAGAAAGTTGCCCTTTAAACAGTTCCAACTTGGCTTGATTAATAGAGACTCTGGATTCTTGCCTAAGTAAACAGCAAGGGCTCCCTTGCCATCCATGGTTCTGCAAATTTGTGCAATTGTTTCTATGGCTGCTACTGTAATAATTGGGTCAGAGGTGGTGAGGTAGCCTGCAAGACAATGAATGAGGGGTTGCCTGTAAATTGGATTTGCGAGAAAATCGGTTGGCTCCTCCTCGGCCAACGTTGCAAAGAAGCTGAGGTATCCTAGACATATGAGAGGAGGAGGAAGGCAAACCCACCAGGTAAGAGAATGTCATGTAACGGATTCTCCTTCAAGGTTTGAAGATCGGTAAACAAGTGTGCAACAGCCCCGCTTGTTTGTAGGAACGTTCGGCCGTCAGGGAAAACGAGCAACAACTTCAGGACAGCCAAAGTGTTAAGCTGTAATAAGGGGTCGCTTTTGCTGAGGACAGAAATTAGTCGGTCAAATATCGGACAATTTATCATCTCTTTGAAGGATTCTTTTCGTTGAGAAGCAATGTACGCGAAAATCTACACAAGTGCATTGAGAATACTAAGCATTACCTCTGACAACCGAATAATCTCTTCATCACCAGTGAGAGAGTTAAAATGATTCATCAAAGAGGCATCCTTCAAAAGCATTTTAACTCCTTCAGGATGGCTTACACCTGTAATGCAGATTATAGCTTATGTTCAAAGTACCAAAAGCTATTAAAAATGCACGAGCGGACGACGCCGTAGTGATTTCCTCAGTGGTAGCTATTTTGCTTATCTCTAGTAGAATTTTGGGAGGTATGGAAATGTCTTCTGGGGATGAATTTTCGACACCGTCTACCAGCTAAAAATTAAAATTGAGAGATGAGCAGACCCTCGCAATAACAAAGTCCCTAAGAGGGATGTTTCTTGACATTATCGCCATCAGTAGCTCAGTTTCATGAGAATGTGCGAATTCAGTCAGGCGAAACGTCGAGAAAACCACCTCAGCTATATTCAAGGCTACCTCAGCAAAATCACTTTGGCATTATAGATAGGAGATCGAACCTGTTACTTAGATCAATATGACCAAAGATATCCAGAAGATTGTGTCTAGACACGGCTTCCTCAAGTTCACCACGTGATAAGTTTCGAAGCATAATGTAAAGATCCTCATACTCTTGTAAAGTACTGGAGAGCCTTGAAAGTCTATCAATAGTTTCATAGACCTTTGTCATATTTAGTAAGATCAGAAATGACCTTGAGCGTTCATTGACAAAGGTAAACAAATCGTGCAGAAATACTAATGATACATACCACTGCCTAAATTTCATTGACAATTAATCATTCAATAAGAATGAATGACATTTCTCTCTATTTGCCAACAGTGTCATACCCAGATAGTGGCGCAATAACTTGATCACTATATCTGGAGGTCTCCAGAAATTGCTCTAGCATCACGAGACCTTCTACCTGGTAAAAAGACATTGACTTTGGCTAACATCCATACATTTATGGTGAGATTTCTTTTGCATAGCGAGCATCATATTAATGCCCATGCCGATTTCGCATGTTTTCACTGAAAGAAACTGTTCCGCCATAGAGGCTGGATAAATGCCTCTTCTGAGCTGAGCGGTCGCCCACGTCAGGACGCATTGGGAAGTGACCAGTTAAGGTCTCCTTTGATGGGGGTTGGAGTTTTTTGGAAACTCATTGCCCTCACTTTGTCTTGATAGCTATGGAAGAAATTGTGGGCCAAGTGCTACTCCTTTTGAATGAGAGCAAGCTTGAAAAACTTTCCGAAACACTAATCGATCGCAAATTGTTGTTCGGAGGAGAATGGGAACTCTCTACAATTCATAATACAGATCGAGGGTGTATCTTATGGTCGACAATCATTATTAGGAGCTCATATTTCCCTTAAAATGCAAAGGGTCCCCTGACGCTGGTACCAGCGTTGTCGTGGCTCTCGGTGCTAACTAATCTCTCCAGGAGATGCCTTTCCTTGGATGGTTTCATATGCTATTTTAAAAGGATTAAACTCTTGAAGGGGATGAATGGAAGTATGAAAACAACTATTGAGAATCCTCAACTTGCGGCTCAAGTGCCACATTTTGACTGAGTGCGCGCCTTCAAATTGTAAGAGCGATTTAAACACATAACATGCATTACAACTATAATCGCTTTTCCAAATGGGGAAGCCTTTTATTAAAGTTCTTCATTAATAATGCAATCTTATGTCAGATATGTGTCTTCTGCTTAAGTGCTAACTTGCTTCATCTTCTGAGAAAACTCGAAGTTTTGCAGTTGCTATTAAGCGCCGATTATGTTAAAATGATACTTTAAGCCTATTATTATCCTTAATAAAATAACACACCCTTTCAGTGTTACCTCTTCAGATGAGAGGGAGTCTGTACATTGTATTTATAAATGATCGGATCTATTGGTAAGAATTCACCACCTATTGTTGGTCTTCGAAGGGAATTGTTTTAGGAACGACGAAAATATCCCCGAAAATAGGGTCCATATCCAAAGTAACGCACACCTACGGTGGAAGGGCTTTAATGAACTAACATCCATCAGATCTTTCCTGAGGTTATAATAATTTATCTAAATTTTGAAAATGCATTTTAATGCGTGAAATACTGGCTGTATTCAGGATTTGAGACCTATACACACGAACATGACCTTGTAGCCTGGCTCTGTTGTTTTTAGTGCTATTACCTTTTCCTACGCCCGTCGCAATGCGCGTAAGCTAGCCTTCGGGACAATTCAAATCCCAATCCCTTCCTCTTCGAGAATGCATGTTTTTAGTCACACCTAATACCGTCCTCAACCTAGTGAGAAGTCTCCGAGCCCTACAGCAGGCGTAATTTCCATTAAGGCGAAAAATTGGTCCAAAATCAAAAATTCGTTACCATTAACTTTGTTGAGCATAATCCTTTGTACTTGTTGCGAACTGTCGTTGTCCAATTGCTTATGACTGGTCGGCTTTAGGAAGACTTGTCCAAAAGTAAGATCTTCAGATAAGGGCTGAATTACGGGCCGATCCAGTCTTCATTTCAGTGACGGCTAAACGTTTTCCGCTCAGCCAAAAGATGTGTGGTGCTGTTGCTTACGCTCATTTAACACCTGCCTTCAGTTGCTGAATGAAACGCCAAAATTTAGCTGTCGGATAGTTTGACTTTTGCGTATTCTTAATGAATATAACCTTTTTGGAATAAAAGGTTGGGAATTTTGGCGTTTTTTTATACAACGAAGACTACTACTATTGGCAATTGTTATCCAATGGAATGAAATGGCAGTAAAAACGGGTGTCACCATCGGCACTGGGCACGTTGAAAGTGCTCGCGTATTTTCCCATCGAGGCTTTCTGGAAAATTAATCCAATTAATAATTTGAACTATACAAGCAGTTAGTCAGCATGGAATCCTTCTTAGGCTGCATCTCATACATGAAGTTGATAGTCCTTTGTCGGCTTTGTGAACAAAGGTGCGCCCATAAACCTTTATTCATACGAATTATTTTTGCAAAGTAGAGTAGTAGTAAAAATGACTATCTCTTACAAGCGTACTAAAATTTGGAAGGAAACAGCTTCATCCCCCTCCATCTATTTTGCAAGTAAATTTATGCTTAAGCTAAGCACATATTGGACAGCATCATCTTGCGCATTCCTACATGATTAAATAGACTCTGGCAGTCCTCAGACCACATTGGGTATAGTGCTGCATGCGAATAAAGACCTTGACTCTAAAAAGATTCCAGACGTACCACAGAAGTATACAGTGTGATGCGTTAGCTCTTTTCATAACTCCCTCTTAGTAGTAGGACAGTTGGAGCTCCGCTGCTGTACTTCTACAAGAGGCTTGGTAGTTGCAGCCCAAATCTTCATTCGCCTGTCGGCAACACATTTTCTGCCTGAGCATTGAATTTTCTTTTGATTTTAGGAAAGCATAAAGTTTAATGGGGTGCACTGCCTGCCATTTCAACTAAAAGCCCATTTTAGCAGAACTGTCGAGTGACTCATGGGATAGATCAACCTTAGGCTAACAAATTGTTTGATTACTAGTTTCTCATGACTTTTCTGTTTGTGAAGGATTGCACTTTACCTTTTTTAAAATCACACGGGACGGATAAACATCATTCACAAAAGGAGAGTAATTCCGATTCGGGTGCAGGAAACAACATCCTTTATATAATTGAATCGGAGTCTTTCGAGTATACAACGAGCTATTACAAAACCTACTTTTACAGTGCTTGGATTTAGAAGCGAAGATGCCATAACTACCCGATAGTCTATCTGACTCTCCTTGCGTCCATGTCGGGTGGTAACGATGCTAAAAAGAGTTCAGATACGCCAGTGCAATGAAAATCACACCCTTCTGAAAAATCAATGCCAATTATTGATCCATAACATTCGTTTCGGCACCAACTGAGTCACCCTTAGCCCATAGATTGGAGATCTAATAAAAGGCGGACAATTTTGGCATAGTAACCAATGTAGTACGCACAATAAATTAAAGACGTCTGTTTGACGGGGAGAAGCACATCTTGTAGCAATGACTTGCCATTTCAGTGGTATCTGCGTAACCTGAACTTCTCGCATATCACCAATGATCACATCAAGTCATTGTTGAATATTTACTCCTCGCTTGACGTTCAGAAATTGCCAAGCACTTAATAAAACTTATTATGCATTCCTTTTAGAGAAGTTGCTGGAATTTACCTTCTTCATAAAGCCGCTTTTTTGACCAACTACAAAACAACACTTTCATTTGTGAGGAATTTAGACCAAAATGAATAATAAATAGGACACCACCACAAGGTAGACTTTGGAGGTCTGGCTTTTAATGAAAGGATGGATATCATAGGAAAAGAATATTTGAGGATTCAATTTTTTTAATTGAGAGCATTGCTTTCTCCTTCGGTGGTCGGTTTACAGTCTTAGAACGAGCACTGAAACGGTTTTATCTTATTTAAGATGCCTTAAATTTTGGTCAGCTCAATTTTGCTACTTAAATTATGAACACATCTCCATTTGGCCATGTGTTTTGCCAGAACCACATAATCGAAACAAAGAGGATACTTCTACGTTAAGCAAACTACTGAAAGCAGTATTTAAATCTTTGACAGAGCCAGACCCGTCACCTTTGAAGAACTGAAAATAGAGTTGGAAAAGAGGTATCATTTTGTACTTAAATGTCAATATGTAAAAGTAGTTAATTAGAATCATTTAATGAAGTTTCTAATCAATTACTAATTGCTAAATAGCAGGCGGTTAACGAAAAAGTGCAGGTAGGGAAGGTCTGGTCACAATGCGCCGTTTTTCTTGGTTATCAGGCCTTTTTAATAGATCCCGTTCTCTGGATAGTGCAGGTTTGTCGATCACTTGACAAGTTAACTGCCAGCTCCACCATAGGAGGTGGTGTCGAATCATGCACCAAATCCAACTTCAGAATGCCAAGTTGAGAGAAGGACGTTCTCGGTCAGAAAGGCATTCCATTTTCCTATGTTTCTCAGGCGACAGTTTATGGTGTGCTGTGTTGGCCATGTTGGCCACCCTCAGGCTTGATGTCGTAGTAGAAAAGAAATCAAGAAAGAGTTTCGATGAAAAACAAGACGAATTTTTTCAACTACCTTCTCTGTTTTGACAATTGTGCATTGTGGTCAATGTTCGTGTCGTTCTTTTCAATTTTACTAAGGATTTTAAAAACAGTGTATTTTAAGGTGGAGTAGGCTAGAATTAATCTTCACAGACAGAAGTTACTTTTGTTTCGTAACCATTTATTAGTCTCATGGTATCTTCTTACTCAACACTTGAAAAGAGTGAGATTTTGTTTCATGCAACTAAACGTTGACCTGCTTGTTTTTTGCCGTGATCTTTATCTTACTAGAAAGGAAACAGCATTGGGTGGTGTTGTCTCTCTTCTGATGGCAGATGTCACATTCTAAGTAGAGATGAAGAGGCTTGACTAATTTTAGGTGTGCTCTATCAGGATTGCAGCTGAGAGCAAGTCCATCCGAGGTCTGCAAAGAACGAGGGCGAATCTTTGAGGATGCTGACACAACTGAACTCAACACCACAGTCGGCAAGAGTATTCGAAGGAGGATGTGTTAATGGTGGTGCCTGCGAAACTCGAGGTGCCACGAGGCGAGCTGAGCGATGAGGCGTTGTGGCTTGACACCGCTTTGCCAAATAAGGCGTAGTCCCCTCTCCAAGCTTATATTCACACCATCACCGATTGTAAAATGCTTAGAAGGTATGCTGAAATAAGTGGAATTAGGAGGGAGGGAGCCTGTGCCAAAATGTCATTCAAGACGTTCGGCTGTGTGGAATCCTTCTAACAAATTATCACCGGCTCGTAAACTGCGGTAGATTGTACACAAACTCCATCGTTCACTAGCGAGCCGACTAATCCAAATAGTAGATGCAAGTTTCTATCATTATTTGGGTTTTTAATAGTCTTGATGTTAGTTAAGGTTAAAGGTCAAATTAAGTACAAAAATGTGAGGGTTGTTTGGACCTCTGGGAATTGAGAACAAGAAAATGAGGGATTGGAAAAGGAATGGCACAATTAAGCTGTAAATAAGGGGACAAGAAGATTACATTGCTCTAGGTGAACTTTGTTTGTGAGATTGTGGCGTTGTCGAACGACGAAGCTTGATTCGATGTTTCTTTGAGGCACAAGCTCTACACTCTGTTGAACTGTTAAAGTTTGAACAGCTTAGAGGCGAAGCTTTGTGCACTAGGCACCTTAGTAACCTGGAGATGTGCAGCGGCTATAAAAAGGAGGAATAAATGACAGTTGGATGCTTTAGTCAACCATCATATGGAATGTGATTCTACGCAAATGAGCTGAACATCACGCTAAAGTATTAAAATATTCCTTAATTAAGTGCTCCTCCACCCTGAAAAGCTATCCCCACTCTTTTCTGAATGAATTTGGGATTTCAGAATGTCGGATGATTGCTCCCACTCCAATATCCCTACGCTTTTTCCCATCTTGGTACTGTTGAGTGGATAGAGGTGATATGTGTTGTGCTTTCCGGGATGATTGAGCTAAGGTAATCGTTTTAACCTTGAGGCTTAACTGTTGCATCAATACACACCACAGACCACTCCTCATTGAAAGGCTTCTCCCTACATCACGGCGATTAAATCATCCATCATTTAGTGGGACATAGAAGGCTAAAACTGAAAAACATTAGACACGAATCTCTATTTTTTACAAAAGATTTAGAGTCTATGATCAATCTTATGCGCTGCAGTTGGCATTCAGAGCTGTCACCCCGTCAGCGACTACCATTTGCCATTACACGCAAATCCACTTCAGTACTTATGGGCCATTCAGCGCATTGCGTTCCCGTGTTTGAGGCAAACCCGACTTCCTTGGGTTAGTGCTAGAATATCTTTTGGTGACAAAATCCACTTGTCACATGCCATTGAATCAGCCGCGTTAACCAACAAACAGAAGCTAACTGAAGCAAACGAGTAACCCGAAACATGCTGCCAAATGGATGAACCCCGTTATTATTCCGCAATCTTATGAATCAATTTTCCTTAAAATCTTATGAATGCAGTTAGCTGCGTTCTATGATCACATCCTACATTTTATCTCAAGTAGGGTCTAGGAGCGTTGCACACTCCGGTTATGCGAGGCGGCATGTTAACAAATGTAGCTGCAGACCGAATGTCCAGTTCACTATCAATTAAAGCTCTTATTTTAACCCAGTCACGTTTGCCAAGTCAATGATTAGCGACTTAAACTGGACCGCGTACCACATCGCATCAAAAGGAAGCTTTGGGGCTTTTTCTGAGGTAGAAATTTTCGTTGGGTATGTAAAGCCGGTATGAACTCCTGGTTGACGACGAGTGACTCTGCAAGCAGCTTTGATTGTTTTGTGACACTGGTAGACACTTTAGGTTAAGTTTATTGTGCGAGCACCACTCATGGACGCACTTGCTGAAACCTACTGAGTGACATTAGAATGTGTGGTGGAGAAGCAGTCATCTAAAGGGTGTCGCAAGTGTTAGCACTGAAGTCGGATGCAGAACTGGCTGTTGAGTGTCTCAATGTAACCTCAGGGACGGAATATTTGTGCTGCGATGTTGGCGTTTGTACGCCTCTCTTATCCAGTCTCCATCATCCTGAATGGTACCCTAAAAATGCTAGATTGCAATGCCATCTTGTAGGTGTTGAGTAGATTTACCAGATAAATGGTTAGCAGAAGGAAAGGAAATCCATTATTAACATTATAACTAAATCAGGTTAACTACTTTCAGTGCAACATCATTTTGCCATGAGGGTGAATTGGTACATCATTCCGTGGGCAACAAAAGATGCCACAAAGCGAGTGATAGATTGCGCCACCACAGTCCTTTCTCTTTACACTTACGCAGACATCCAGTCTAAGCCATCGAGTGTATGCTCTATTTCTCTCTTTCAGCAACAAAGCCGCCTTCTCCTGTGTCATTTGCGCATACGCGCGTGTGTGCATATCACAATGTTCTGCGCCAATAAGTGACAACCTTGGAGCTTCACCCAGTGTCTATTCACCGCCTTCACTTTTTACACCACCACTTGCTTCTTACAACTATTAGAGGTTCTCACCACATTCGCACCCATAATCACATAGAGGAGCCGTAGCAGTGGAAATGACAGACTACGGCACTGCAGTTCTTGCGCAAACTCTCTCTGACAACTCGAATCCTGGCCCTCCTCCCTCGCCACGTCTTCCAACTCTAAGGCGCCAACGTTATCGTCTAAGCCGTGAATCCTTGTCCAGTTTCCAAGACAAGCATGACATGAATGCTACTACTCTCGACTCTAGCCCCTCTCATATCAGCAAAGGAACTCAACACATCCGCCAAGTGAGAATAGTTTCTGGTCCTGGCCATGAGCATCAAAGACCAAGTAGCTTTGGCCACAAATCCCGGCCCTGTGGATTCGCTGACAGTAGACCCAGAATGGCCTCCCAAGAGATGACTGAAGTGTGAGTGGGTGAAAGTCCCCCTTTTGTTCTAAGGCATTATAAATAGGAATGATATTCAGACCTGATTTACAAAAGCATTTTTAAGAGGAGAAAAGGACAACAAAATGCATAAATTTGTGCCCTTTTTTCAAAGACAATAAGAAGACAAGAGTAGCTCTGCACTTTCCATTTTATGATAGCAAATTGTTTTTTTGTCTTCTCTCCATCCTTCTGGAGTAAGGTACACTGTAAGCTAGAGGATTAGTTCAT